ATTAGTAATATCAATCTTTTGCCATTGTGGTAGTAAGGAAAGAATATTTGAAAGGACTAGTTCATAGGTAAGTTTCAAAAGCTTCTTCTTTAATCTCAACTTACTAGCACTGTTGATATATGTCAAGATGTTCTTCTTGATAGTCATGTGTGATGTATTTTTTAGTGGGCATTTGGAGACTTTTCTCAAAGTGGAAAGCGCAGAAGTGTTCTTTTTCTGATTCTTTACGGCCTCCAAAATGCACTTCTCAATTAGCATTTCCAATTAGCACTAACTTTATTGCTTGTTGAGAAGTGTCTAGAACAAATGTTAGGATACCTAGTAATTTGCATGTTGAAATATTCAACAACTTATCTATACAATTTTTACAGTGATTAATTTTTCATTTTTTAGGAAGGTGCCCATCATTGCGCATCCACATACACAATGATTAAATTCTGAAGTGCACCCAAGAATTTGAACACATACCCAATTGTTGAGCACACCATTAAAGTGTCTTCTAGAATGAACCAAGAAGCAGAGGTTTGTATCCTACAGCTTCCTAAGCACCTTTGACACAGAAGATTGGTGATGCATTTGGAGTGGCTTCATGCACTGCTTAAGCTTGTTTATGCCATAGGTATGCATTGCTTGAGCATGAAGGACTAATGATCCATTGGCCGAATGAGGAAATGAATGAAGTTATAGCAAGATTTTAGAGTTCCCAAACTATTGTGGTGCAGTGGATTGCACTCACATTGCAATTGAGCTCCCAAGATCAAAGGACAAAACAGGTTGGTATGTTGGCAAAGATACCTGAAGATGCATTCAACTGCAGCCGGGTTCTCCAAGAATTGGCTAACTTTGCTCACGGAAAAGGCTAAATCAGGTCTTGTACACCCTGCTGGATATAGCAAGCTGCCAACGCACTGCCATAGGGGATCTTTGCCATAGCAGCTTTCCCTTCTTCCGTTGCTGGAGACATCTCTTTCATCAATTTACAACCAGATAATTCCCTGTGCATGGTCATGGAGGAGCTCCATGCCAAGAAAATATCTTGCTGGCCCTAGTGCCTTCATCTAGAACTGAGTTGACAGGATCTTCTTCACCTGGGCAAACATGGCAGCATTGTTGTGAGTAACCAGATTGTCATCAACGTAGAGGCCAAGGATTGTGAAGTCTGGTGGGTAGAACTGGATGTAGAGATTGATATCCCCTGGCTTAGCTTGAATCCCACACTCAACATGAAGCTGTCGTAGTGTTTGTACCAAGAACAAGGCAATTGCTTGAGTCCATAAATCGCCTTCTTGAAAAGCCAAACATGACTCTCTTTTCTTGGCCCAGCAAATCCATCTGACTGCTGCATATAAATCTCATCTTCCAGTTCTCCATAGAGGAAAGCAGTACTTGCTCGATGTCGTAGTCACCAGCTGCAACAAAATGGATCAAAGCATGAAGAGTCGTGTGCTTGACCACAGACACAAAAGTCTCGTGGAAATCAATTCCAGGAACTTGAGTGCAGCCCTTCATAACCAGTCTAGCCTTGAAATGAGTAGTGCCATCACCACATGCTCCTCACAAGTTTCCTCCAGCAGGAATGGAAGAAACCAGCACGTGAGTGCCATTCTTCCTCTGCAAGCACATCTCGTCCTCCATCACTGCAAGCCAGAATTTAGCTTCTGGAGAATCCAAGGCTTGTGCATAAGTTTTGGGTTCCACTAGAATTTCGCCAGCAGTAGAAGCAACCATCATCTCAATGAGGCAAGACGGTTTCTTGCGCTGGCAGTCAGAGTGGTAGAGTGTATTAGGGTCAGGGTCAACCCTCGCATGACCTCTTGCATCTGGAGGGACTGGATCCCCTGGCGCATGGTCCACCGTATAGGAATGGGGGCAGCAGGCAGATGTGTGACAGGAATGGTCACAGAGTTAAAAGCTCCTTAGGAGGATCTCCCACTATTGAAGAGTCTCTCACAGTGTTTGGATTGGGTAAGTTGCTTCATTATTGCTTTCCTTTGCTTGTCACTTCATTGGAGGAGACCATCAGATCCTTTGGGAGTAAATTTGTGATTTTTTCCTATAGTTATTGCAATTTTTTTCCTACTCACTTGTACTTCTAGAATGTCTTCATTGGCATCTCTAGTATCTTGGGTCTCAAATACAATGTCTAGATCTGAATCTACCATTGTGTTTGTCTTTGGAAAAAAGAGAAACAAAAGTAAATCATAAAAGGACAAATGAACTTATCATAGCTTGGTGACTTGTTTGCAATTGTGGAACCCATGAATGTATCAACTTAAGGGCTACTTAGAACATTAATTCTCGATTGCATCATCCATAATTATATCTCATTGTAAAAGCTTTTGTCAAATGCATGAGGAAGATTAAGCATCCTTCTTCATCCTTGTAGTAAACTCATTGCTAAAGTAGAATGGTTTCTTTAATGAGATGTTGCTCTCATAGTCATTAATGTACTTCTACTTATTCGCAAGCTCATCCCATTATGACTCACATTATTTTGGTGTGTGATGAAATCTTTGTCAACATAAGATGTTAGAAATTTATCACCACTTCTTTGGTCCTTTCATCGATTTAATATAGCCACCAGAAACCAAGTTTAGAAATCAGAAAACAAACACAAATTATATTTCTTGTATCTCTAAAATATTTGTTACTCTATCAAAGAGTTAATTTTTAGAGGAGGCAGTAATAACAAAGTTGTGAAAAGGGAATTTCTAATTCACCCACCATAAAAGCCTTGCTGTTGCAAAAATATATTCAAAAAAAAGTGGGAAAACAATTAGAAAAAAATTCTTAACTTGAAGAATTAAAGCTAACTTACATTGCAGAAATGCTTAGAACAAATTCAATCATTGAATTGAATGTAGAAATGCTAAGCTAAAAGCCATTGTAAAAACTTGCTAAACAAAAAAAGAAACCAAAGAAAAAATGAGTAGTATTTGAATCAAGATTACATTTGAAATAGATCTCATACTAGCACTACTAACCTCTCCTCCCTGGACATTAAGAAAAAATAAGCAAAACTCTAAAATTACAAAATTCTATTCTTACAATATTGATGCACTAAAATATGAGCTAAATTGTGATTATGGATGAAGTGAGGGTGAGTGATTCTTCATTTCCTGCAAGTTCCTCTCCAAATTGCTACAAAATCCCCCCGAAAGCCCTTCAATAACTTGCGTGCTCAAACAGTAAGATGGGTGAAAATTTTTAGATGATTATTATTTTATTATTTTATTATTTTATTATTTTATTTTTTTTATTAAATTACTAAAAAAATTAACCACTTTGGGTATAATGTCGGTGTAATCTTGAATCAGTTTTTCTCTCTGGTGTCATCTATTGGTACGCTATGTCAATGAATGAGATTTGCATGCCTTAGCTCAAAACCAACTTGCTGAAAGCATCACACTGGTAGCTGGCCATCCAGGCATGTGTGAAGTTTGCCATCTTGGCAAGCAAATTCACTTTCCATCCACATAAAAGACCATTACAAGCTTGCTGGACTGGTTCATAGTGATGTGTGCTACCTGCTTGTGAAAACACTCAGCCACAAGAAGTACTTTATGTCTTTTATTGATGTCATGAATTTCACCTTTCAGATGGTAGAGTGGACGTGGATGCAGTTCTGCCGGTGTTCTAGGCTAACTCCATCTTCATGAAGCAGGAGGAGCCACCAAGGGTCCAATGGAGGACTCTTGAACCAAAAAAAGAAGATGGTCTTAGCAAACCGAAATTTTGGGCTAAATCTTTTCATGTCATTCGTCCCACAAGAGGTGTGCTACTCTCATTTCAGGATGGCTTCAGATTCTACTTCTTGCCCCAATTTTTTAGTGGTTGATGTGCGAAATCTCCTTTTGTTGTTTAGTTATTATTCTTATTATCCGCACATGACATTGCTTTTTGTTGCCTTGCTGCAGACCTGAGCTTTATTTTTAGGTACTGAAATCTGTGAGGCGCTGAATCACCTATTCCTTGACAATCTGCGAGACAATAGACAACGAATGGGCATGCCACCAAGGAGTTAGGCGGGGGCAGGGTTGCCTCCAGTGCTAGAAGAGACGGGCCCTACTTCACGTTGAAGACACTCAAGCACATAGTTGCAGCTAGACGTGCAAACGTTCAAACATGTCGACGTTTAAACGCCGCTTAAAACGTTTTTTTCAGGACAATCAAACGTTTACATGTTAAAGCCTAAAATGATTAAGAAAACACTAATATTTACTAAAGACACTTTAATCTGATATTAAGTTTATAAAACCCAATCGAATAACATACTAAAAAAAATGAAAGAAGAAGCCATTTTAGTCATCTTCCGATTCCGAATCATCTTCCATTCCTTCATTGATGCTAAACTCCTTAGCAGTCTGATTTGGTTCCTCAAAAGCTTCTTGCAGATCCAAAATCCTCTTCCAATGAGGCTCCAACTCCAGCTTGTCTATATCAATCTCCAGCATCCTCAAACCTTCACTCTCCAACTTCTAAGCAACCCGCAAGTTTGTGTGAATGTAAACCAGCTTCTCAGCATTTTTGGGAAGCAAGTGGGACCTGCGCTTTGTTTGTATCAAGCTCCATGAGCTCCAATTCCTCTCGCATGGAGAAGCGCAAACAACTTGGCTTAAAATCTGAAGAGCCATGCAACGTAGATCAGGCATCTCTAAACCAAAAGAACTCCACCAGGTTACTGGAAACTTTCTAGTCTCCCGATCCTTGGCAACAGGTAACCTCATTTGCTGTCCAAGCTGTTGCCGAAACCTCTCAAACTGTGCCACTACAAGTCCAGATCACTCCAGCCAATTCCCGCATGCCTCATTGTCCAGCTTGTCGTTCTCTAGGTTATCCCCCAGAAACAGAGGATGAAGAGCAAAAGCAGCTCCATGAATGACGTTGTGCATTTGATACCACCTTGCCTCCTTCAGACCGTGTGATTCAAGTAGGAAATCCTTGATTTGTCCCACTTCCTCATGTGCATAAATTCCGTTTCGAGCTCCCTCGTCCATCTTCTAGATCAGCCGATCAACAGCTTCAAAGATGAGGCCTGAAGTCGCCCCCTCCCGATCAGCGAGTCGAAGAACTCGAAGTAAAGGTCCGAGAAAAATTAACAAATTCTCGCACCGCTCCCAGAACGAGTCATTGAGAACACGAGATTGCAGCTCCAGGCCCTCCGGCTTCTTAGACCAGTCAAGTCGCTCCCATTCTTGGCTCTCCACCATTCTTCGAAGCCCGGAGAGATTCATGGTCTCCAGAAGCTGAGACATCATGAGAAAAATATAAGCAAACCTCGTGGTCACAGGCTTTATCAGGTCCCGTTTGCAGAAAGTTCTATAAAGAGCTAGAACCCATGGCTTTGAGGTGATGAAGGTAACTGTCTTCGCACAGCCATCAACGAAAGGCTGCACCCAAGACAGAGCTCCAATATCTTTGAACAGCAAGTCCATAACATGGCAAACGCAGCGAACATGTACAATCTGTGGAAACTCCTGCTGCAAAAGCTCCCCCATGACCACGCAGTTGCTTGCATTGTCTGTCACCACCTGCACAATGTTTTCCGCACCAACCTCGGCAATCACTTGTTTCAGCTGCTCAAACAACCATGCTCTGGTTTTCTTCGCATTCTTGCTGTCCACAGCCTTCATGAAAATTGAGCCTCTCACAGAACTGACCATGAAGTTGATAAGAGACCGCTTCTTGATATCAGACCAGCCATCCATGACAATGGTACAACCATATGTCCTCCAACTTAGCCACACATCTTCAAGCCGCTTCTGAACATTGTTGTATATTCGTTGTAGCTCAGTTGTCTGCAACTTCTCATATCCCATGAGGTTGTCAATTGCTGGACGCCCCACTTTTGCGGCAACTTTTAGCATTCTCTTCAAGTTGTCTCTTCGGATTGTGCTGAAGGAGATGTTCTCGACAAAGAAGAACTCTGCAACAGCATCATCCAGTGCCTCAGCCGAAGCAGTATCAAAAAATGTCACCAAATTTCCATCCGAGGATCTATGTTTTGCTGCTCTGCTTGTCCCAGCACTGGACCAGTTCTCCGTGCTTGCCAACATAGATTCTGCTGGCCCCCCTGAACCCTGTGCGGCTTGCTGCAGCAGATGCCCATCATCGGCATCTACTGGGTCTGCTAGCTCGAAATCGAAAAAACTGCTACAAGCTTTTTTAAGAACTTCATAAGGGATCTCCCTCATTGCCTTGCACGTTTTCACACCTCTTGCCCGAACTCCAGCGAGATGTGCTCACACTCGCTCCGCTCCCCCAGTGTGATTCTCATGACAATACTTACATGTCCAGTGCCGCTCTGCTCGTATCACATGCTTCCAGCTCCAGCATTCGCGGCGTCCTCCAATTCCTGCCATGACCACATGAACCCTGAAGAAACCCTATAGAAACCCTAAAGAAACCTTTGTCTCTTTTTGCAAATAGTGCAAATGCGTTGGGAGTTTAGAACAGCATTTTTTAACGCATTTAAAACATTACGTTTTTTTAGTTTCATACGTTTTCCAGCATGTCAACCACTAAAAAGAAAATTGGGGCAAGAAGTAGAAACTGAAACCATCCTAAAAAGAAAGTAGCATACATGGGCTGGACATGATCCAGCCTGAAATTTCGCTTTTGCTGAGACCATCTTCTTTTCTTGGTTCAAGAGTCCTCCATTGGACCCTTGATCACGGAGATGGAGTTAGCCCTGAAGACCCACAGAACCGCATCTACGTCATCAGAGTGAAATTCAAGACCCTGTCCCATTTATGTCTTGAATGAACTCACAAGCTCTTCCAGCTCGGTGAAAGTTTTTTAAGGGTGGAAATTTTCGATTAGGGAACATTTTTGTTTTTGAAGGAATTCAAACCCTAAGAGCAGCCATTTATGGAAGATTCTAGAAAATATTCTTCCACTCACTTTCCTTCTCTCTTAACACAGCTAACAGTGGAATGATATCATTAATTGTCATTTCTCATTTAATATGAGGATTAAATTTACACAGCTTTGGCCATTTTTCTGGTGGATAACTAAATCCAACAATATCGTGTACCTGGTTTCAGTTGTGGAGGACATTATCACTGTAGAACCAAAATGTTTGGAGTGTTCTAATGTCTTTGTATATTCTAAAACTTGTGACACATGGTGCCACTGTATTCCTTGAAAGTTCCTTCATGCATCTTCACTTCTTGCATTCCATGTAACAATAGCATGTGACCTTCTAGTTTGGTACGTGATGTAAAGTCATGAAGTTCGTTCACTATTGTGATTTTTCAGTGTCATTGAAGTTCAAATCCTTTCTTGATGAAAAATCACAACTGGCACATTAACGTTGATAAATTCTAACCTGTGTCAGCAATAGTATGTGAATCTGTTGTTGTATGCTTCCTATACAATGTTTTCTGGTCCCCACTGTGGCCGCTCTAATCCAACATAAATATTTATATCATGAGCATCTTTGTTAAAGTTTACTACATTTGCTACTTGTTTCCTAGCACTTCCTGGTTTGCCACTTTTCCTTGAGTAAAGCTCCTAGACCCAATCCTATGTATCTTTGCTCTAGACACAATTTGTAGTCGATGCACTGAAATAGGGCCTCTGATAAGTCATCAGAACATATATCATACAAGCTAATCTTCTTCTAGTATGGTCATGTGGCCAACCAGCTTGTATGTTTCATCTCTAAGAAGTTTGGAATAAAAGTTATGTTAAACATAATTTTAAAAAAACTTCTATGAAACACTATTTGGGACTAAACCTTAAGGAGGTTCCCCCATCTTACCACCCCTATATACCACCAATCTACTAGCAAGGGAATTTTTTGTTATTTTGAATTGTCTTTCTTTCCCACCACTTTCAGATCTTATTGAAGTAGGCTTTTACCTCTTCTTCAGTCTCAACCTGCTGCCACTATTGACATATGTTAAGGTGTTCTTCTTGATAGTCATGTGTGATGTATTTTTTGGTGTGCATTTGGAGACTTTGCTCAAAGTGGAAAGCACAGAAGTGTTCTTTTTCTGATTCTTTACGGCCTCCAAAATACACTTCTTGATTAGCATTTCCAATTAGCACTAACTTCATCAACTATGAAACCATAAAAAAAGGTACAAAACCTGTTTCATGCTAGTGTCTAGAACAGATGTTAGAATACCTAGTAATTTGCATTTTGAAATATTCAACAACTTACACGATCTATACAATTTTTACTGTGATTAATTTTTCATTTTTTAGAAAGGTGCTCATCATAATGAAGTATACCCAAGAATTTGAACACGTACCTGGTTGTTGAGCACACCATTAAGGCATCTTCTGGAATGACTCCCTCGGGATACAAGCATTCCAATTAAGATCTAGAGAACCTTCCTCTCCTGCTCCATCATGTCAAGTAAATGGAATTCCTTTGACAAGATATTTCGTAGAGTGTCCTTGTTTTGCCACAGCCAGAAGCATCAAACCTCTAAGAAGTAGAGGTTTGTATCCTGCATCTTCCTAAGCACCTCTGACACAGACCCAATATAATCTCCATCCTTGAACCCCTCTAGTAATAGAACCGCCCTGCCATCCAAGGTACATAACTCCTTGCTGCTACGAGAATAAGAGCAAAATATTGCTCTGGAGGCACGGTAGGAAGATATTCCTTCACCTGTTCCCAAATTTCAGCACAGACGTCATCAATGTTCTTCTTAGCGCCCCTGGACCATGGGTGGCCACAGAATTAAACACAGCCAAAGGGCAAACAGACCACACTAGATATCCACACAGAGAGTAACACAAGAAAGAGAGATGAAGAGACAGATTCAAGAAGCAAAAATCCTTACATGGAAACCAGAGCAGGACCAGAAGAAGTACCTGCAGAGGACAGTGGAGCAGGAAAACTTGAAATGCAAAACCCAGCTCTAAGCTGAAGAAGACACAGACAGCATTAATAGAACGCAAGGGAAGCAGATGGCCGTGAATTTAATTACAATTACAAGCAGACACAAGCACCCAAGAACAACCTTGAAACCCTATAGACATCCGCCGATTTCATGGCGACACTATGAATACCAAGAACCGGTTGGTACGGATATCGTCATCTGGTACACCGCCTAACTCCCTGGTTCGTTGATGGAGTCGGGTGTTGGATTCCTGTGTGCCCCATTTCTACATTTCCTCGGGTAGGATTTTTTTTGGTAGGATATCCTACTAGGTAGGCTATCCTACCTTCCTGGTACTTGATCTCTCCGCCATTCTTGTTGATGGTGAGAACTTTGGAGACTTTCTTCTCTATCAAGTGTTGACTTGGAAATCAGGCGCAAGAGACTGGATTTGGCAAGGCTGGACAGTGGTAGAATAGGCTGTTGCTGGAGGACTGGAACAAGGTTGTCACCAGGCAGCACTGACAAAGGAGGAGTGGAATTGGACGAAGTCTCATTGAAGTGAACTCTAGTCAGCTCATTGTTTTGGTTTTCCTTCCTTGACATGCTATAAGACAAGCAACTTTTCAGAAGGGACTTTTTTAAAGTTCTTTTAAATACTAATACTGAGAGATTTTTATTCAGTACAAATCTTAACACTCTCAATCAACCATCGCTCAACAAACATGCAAATATTTGTACTATCAATAACACCGAGTATCGCTGGAACACATTCTTGTTGACAATGTGGAGTGTTCAACTTCCTCAACTTTGCTGGATTTTGCTTAGCCTTTGGCTGAAACTTCGTCAAATCTACAAAATCTGTTGTGACCACAAGTTTTAGGCACCCAAAGCTTGCGAGTTCCCTCACTCGCTTCGCACCTTCGTCGTCCTTTTTCCTCGTCACAACTTTTTGACCACCATTCTTGTGCAAAAATAGCTTGTTAAGATCCAACGAAGAGATAGCCTTCTGATAGTCACCCCTTGCCATTTTCTGGAGAGTCTTCATTTGAGCTGCACATATGATGAAAGTTGTCACTGACTGAAGATCGTCTGCCTGCTCCCCACTACTTGGTTCTCCAGCGCATTGAAGCTTGTCTGCCTGCTCAGGTTCTGTACGTTGCGTAACTGTCAAAAACCACCATATGTCTGGGCCGCAAGTCTTATTCCTGCCTGTCGAAAAAAAAGTAAAGAAGTCGTCTTCACCGCTAGTCACGCTGTTTATCCAATCGATTAAACGAAAGTCCTCCGTCTCAGTCCCAACGAGCTTCAGGTGATCAACCTTGGGCCTGGCAAGAGTTGCAGTGTTGTTGTAGATAGCAGGAATCGGTTGTGTGTTCCACGATGAGAAAAGATCAGCCAGATACTTCCCATCTAAATGCTCCGCAATCATCTCTGCAACCGCAGTTTCATAAACCTCCCCAGTAGAACTGGCACTTAATTCGGCCTTGTCCAGAAAATGATGCTGTTGAATCCGTTGCAAGGAGGAATTCTCCTGAAAATAGTGCCAAAGGGCACAACAAACCAGCGGCTCGAAGATCTCTACAGCTTGGCATTCCTCGCTTGCATCAGCATGCCCAATAATTCCGTCTTGATCTTGATACACCCACTTCATCAGCCCGTGTCCTTTATAACAGACTCTCCCAAGTCCAAACTCCACCAGTGATAATGTTGGATTCAGCACGACCATCTTTCCTGTACCAAAGAAGTGGTTCGCGACAACTGATTGAACTAAAGCTTTTGCTGCCGCCAATTCATCGCTCGGCACTCCTGAAAAAAATCGGTAGACATCATCGAGCACGGTCCTGTTCACTGTGTGCATAAAATCTCCAGTCCTCGTCCCCGTGCTTGCTGATGCGCCCCTGTGGCATTCCAATCATCAGTCAAGAAGCTCTGCCGCTAGGCAAAATTTTACGTACCTCATGGATGTTGTCTTTTTGGCATAATCCAAGAAAAACTCTGTAGCTGCGGTTGCGGGTGGGTTAGAAAGGATATACTGCTCAAGTGCAGTAACAAACGCCCGATATCTTCCTCTGTACAGCACCCCGAGCCTCTCAAAGTCTATAACGCTGCAATCCTCCAGTATATTGCTAGCATATTGCCGCAGGGACTGACCATCCCGAAACTCGCCAAAGGATGTATACCACAAGACGCTCACACGGAATTTCAGTGTCTGTGGACACAAACATTAGGCATGAAACGCAGGAACGCATACAATATACCTCGGAGATGTGAGTGGACACATAAAACAGTGATTTCCCAGTCCCAGTAAAGATTACTGTGTTGCGGAACCCCGCACTATGTAGAGCAGTAACAAATTATCAAGCATTGATCTCGTCTCCCCATCCCCTGTCATAAACCTGTCTTTCAGATATGTGTTCACCTCCTGGCACTCGTCCAAAATAATCGGCCAGTCCCAGGTGTACGCAAGGAGCATCATGGCCAACACGGACTCCAATGCAGGAAGATCATCTGCTGACTTCGCCAGCGTCAAGATGCACTCGGTTAAATAGGCCCAAGGGTCATCCTCAAAATAGTGGAGCTGCTCGTGCATAACCTGCTTGAAAAGAAATGTCAAATTGCTGAGTGGCTTGAGGAGGTCGTCACATTTCCGGTGAATGAAAAGCCTTGACAGGAGCACCGCCCTCAAACAGGTCTTGAGGGATGAAACGGGAATCGGACCTGTTGGATACAGCCTCTGCAGTGTCTCGGACACAACCAACAGGTCCCGGGAGCCATCAGCGGTAGGAGAATCGGAACAGACGCCGGAGAAGTAAAGACAGGTCCGCTGCGCCGCAATCTCGTATAAGCAACGCGTCTTTCCAGATCCAGAGACGTCGAATAGAATCAAAAGACGGGGCTTGCTCATTCTCATCGATGAAAGAATCTCTCCAGAACCAAGAGGCTGCTCCAGACCATGCCACAAAAGACTCGGTTGCCAACCTTCCGGAACCTGTAGCTGGCAAATTGGAACCTTGGTGAGCGGGTACTTTTTTTTGAACGCGTGCTCAGGGGTCATGGTGGAAATACTGCCCGACAGGTCATCGCCAAACTTCCGTAGTATAGCTTCCACAACCCCTGCACAACAAACGCTATTGATAAAGGACGGGCAGGCGTTCAGTACCTTGAGTAATGGGCTCTCTCGCGACTGCAAAATTACAAAAATTCAGTCTAGAAAGGATGCAGTCACAGGCACCACCACGCTCCAGTGTGCGTTAGAAGCAGACACAAGCACCCAAGAACAACCTTGAAACCCTATAGACATCCGCCGATTTCATGGCGCACTAGGAATACCAAGAACTGGATAAAGAATGGGACGTCCGACATGGATGCATGTGCACTTTCACAATTGCTTACCAGATCCGCCGATTCCATGGGGCACTGCAACATTCAGAACATAACAAAGCTAGTATTAGATCTGGAAGAAGAAACTATCATAGCCAGAATCAAGGGTATCAACATAAAAGGATGACCAAGGATCCACAAGGGAGTATGCGTCCGCCAGCAGCATAGCCAAAAGCCACCATTCCAGCAACCCAAAATAAAAGCGAATTGAAGCTACCTCTAGCCGAAAGCAGCCATAGCCACATCGAAGCACACATATCCAAGACACACAGCAAAACGCCCATCCGAAGCCATCCTGAAAAGCAAGTAGCATACCTCTCGTGGGACGAATGACATGAGAAGATCCAGCCCGAAATTTCGGTTTGCTGAGACCATCTTCTTTTCTTGGTTCAAGAGTCCTTCATTGGACCCTTGGTGGCTCCTCGCGCTTCACGGAGATGGAGTTAGCCCCGAACACCTGCAGAACCGCATCTACGTCCACTCTACCATCAGAAAGGTGAAATTCATGACCCTCTGCCCCATCTATGTCTTCAATGAACTCCACAAGCTCTTCCATTTCTTCATCACCCGCCATAGTTCCCACCCTTTGATCTGTATGGCTTGAGTTTAGGGCACCACTCTAGAAGTGCTTTAAGATTTTCCATGTAAGGTGGACGTAAACATATTTTTGTTGGACAGTGGCTTTTTTTGTGTTGGAAAACGATTTCGACATGGGTTCTTGCACATTTGAAGGTAAGAATGCAAATCAATCACTGGCATTTTTCAAAACCCGAGGTGCAACCATTTCTGAAAGATTTTAGGAAATATTCTATAAGTTCCTTTTATCTTAACTTAACATGTCATTATTTTATCTTTTCTCATTTAGTTTCTTCTGGATGAGAATTAGATTTATGCATAGCTGAGGAAGATCAGTTGTTGGTGTTCAACATGAACTTCTAGACCATCTTCTTATTGCAGAATTATTTCTTTGAGCAGGTTTTGAACGAGACGAACGAGCATTTTGAGCAGCTTCAGACCAGTTGATGCAAGTTAGGCGATTTTCCAGCCTACAACGTTTGCTTGCGTTTGCCTCACGATTCCTCTTTTGTCTGATTCTGTGAGGAATTTAGACAGAAAGAAGGATTTGACGCTCAAACCACCAAAAATGCATATTTTTTCAGAGGATTCATACATCATGTGAGCATTCTTTGTAATAAGCAATGCCTTCTAGCTTACATGTTTGTGCTTCTCTCTCCGTTTTTTTTTCTTGGTGTCTTTCTCGTACTAAATTATCTTCAATTTATTCTTTCCAGGCACCATCGAGCTTAAACGGCTCGAGGACTACGATGTCAACTTGGTGCTGTGCTTCCAGATGGATTGATCTTTGATCTTTCAGTGGTATGTTCTTTCGTGTTTAGCTGGACACCTTGTTCTTACTTTTTTCACTTATGCAGGACTTGTCATCACCAAAAGATTACATTCAAGTGAGAGTTTTGGAGAACGTCAGAAACTTGTATATAGATTATGAGTTTACATTGCTGATATGATTAAACGTTTGGAAGAAGAACCATTGATTTCACACGTAAGAACTCTCGTGCTTGGTTTTCCGTCTTTCCTCTTTGCCGGGTCTAATTTATTGAGTAGCGTTTGCTTTCATTTTGGATTTTCTAAGGACATTGTTTTCCATAAACAATCCCTGTTGCTCTTCCCATGTAATGGTCGTGCATGAGAAACCCCTGATGTGCCACTTCCCACTGCACCAAGAACAGAGAAGAGTGCTCCAATACCACTATTGAATATAGAAACCATCTCCAAACGGCTAACATGGCCAATCATGTTGCCTTGTTGAGAGAAATCCGGATACATAGTGAAAGGATGGAGAAGAGAGATGGAATCGGCCATAATCTACCTTTAGTTCCTGCTCGTGTTTATATAGTCTCGTCTTGCTCCTCGTTTTGGAAATTGGAGCCGAGCTGGCAACCATCACAAAAAAAGTGGTGTCGGATGGGTGTGTACTCACATGTCCAATATGCTGATGCACAACTCGAGCTGGTCCAGGGTAGAAGCCATGAACTTAATAAACTGGTGGAGGCGCTCCACCACATCAGCAGCTCGTCTTTGCTCCATACAAAGCTTGTATAGGCCTTTGCCGGCTTGTAGAACACCAGCAAGAAGCAAAGTGCATCCAAGTGAAGGTCAAATCCAGACTCTGAGCTGGCCAATAGAGAACAAGTTCACACTTAGCTTTGGAACAAGGTACATATCATGGATAGTGGTACTAGTAACCATATGAGACGTGAGGGAACCACCTAGAGTAGTTTGTTGAGAGCGGGGCATGCCCATTGGGACATGGGAAATATACATACATGTTTATAAAACCACTAGTAAGCTTCAACATAATGGTATCTCAACCAGTGATTTGTAGCCACTTGCCATCCCCTACTGCAATGGTAGCTGGTGGATTGACTTCTTGGAGCGTTTTGAACTGAGCATCGTGTATCAAGTGCCTGAATCAAAGAAAAAAGTATTGTGGTTCTTAAAAGTAATGGAAAGAGAATGTACAATAGTTGCATTGGGATGAACGATCAATGCCTTAGCCTTTGTCATTGGACAATTGGGCTCCATGTGATTTTTTTTTTTGGAGTGCGGGCATGCATGTGGTTGAATAGATCTTTGATGTTTTCAATTACCATCTAAGTTTGAGAAAAGTAACTTTGCCATAACGTGAATGTGTGATTACCTTCATTGTTTTTGACCTCTCCTCAATCATCACTCAAAACTCCTTATAATTTTGTTTACTTTTCCCTGATGGAACATCATATTCATGGTACCCACACTGTATAGCCAACCTCATGTACTATAATACATTTTGCAGCTATATGTTTATAAACAAATTAGATATAAGCACCTTAACAACCCTATTTCACCCTTTCTTTTGTATGTGGAACTCTTGCATCTTTGAGTATGGTTGTGGCAATTATTCCCATCCAGTCTTCTATATTTATTTTTCTAGTAGTTTAGTAGAAATTGCAAAAGGAGTTATCATAAGATATTGTGCCCACACATCATAAAGTTGTTATAGATACTGGAAATTTTGTTATTGTTGTTTTTTTGGCCCATTGTCCATCCAAAATATATTCCAATTCCGACCTGAAAGAAACATAAACAAGCTTGCCATTCTTAATTTTAAAACAAACATATAAATTTTTTAAGAAGATGCTTTTGTGCTTCAACTATAGTAGTGCCTTCTCCTCATTTTTACATGATGTTGTTGTCACTCAAATCATCTCTCTATAAACTCTTTGTAAATCTCATTTGAATCAAATCTAACACTATTAGATATATTTACATTGGTGTGAAAACTTGCCACCCTTACTATCACAAAGGAGAATTAACATTGGGAATGGCAAATCCTTCTTCCTAGGGGATTGTCTTCCTTTTTAAATTCAAAATGAATCTCGGTGTTTGCCTTTCAGCACCAAATCATTACTTCACCACTGTTCCCACCATAGTTACCAATTAATGTGTTCAGGTGAAAATTTGCCGCTAGTAACATATTCGTAACATCGCGTTCATAACACACATCTGGGTTCCAAGTCACGTTCAAAATGACCTCTTTTAAAGATTCCAAATCTTTCCATGAATTTAAATTAAGTTTACCATTAAGCTAGGTTTATCATCCATTATGTCTCCACGTAGAGGAGGCAAGAAGAAAGAACCTTTGTGGGAGCTTCATGCTATTGAAGGTGAAGCATATGCAAATGGCAAAGGAAGCAAATAATGGATCTGCCACTACTGCAACAAAGGACTCGGTGGTAGCTTGAAAAGGCTGCAAGGAGAGGGAATCCAACCTTGTGAAGCTGTTGCTGACTCGCTGAAACTAGAGTTCAAGACAATGTTTGAGAAGGACTATGGTTCTGCAGTTGCCCAGATAGGGCAATCAGCACAAGCGACAGCAAATGCCAGTTCTTCAGCATTTGCCCAGACTGGGCAACCATCAGAACAAGCTCGAGTGATACCTAGTGCCAGTGCTACCCAGGGTGATTCTTCTAGCATGGCTAGTATGGCTGGAGCATTTAGCAGCTCTGTGCAATGTACAGCTGGCTCTACTGGTTCTACTTGCTAGCTCTACTGCCGACCATAGAGCGATAGACTGCTCTAGATGCTTTCTCCTCGGGAGATTGATCAAGGTACTCTCCACTCTCAGCAGATAATTTCGTGCCTGTGTCCATGAGAGTAGTGAGCAAGGCCACACACCTCTGGAGCATGTCGGAAACATATTTTGCGTGGCTTAGCTCCAGAGTGCCTCGCTCCCTGTTGCACGTCACCTGATACCGAGGCAGAAATGCAACTCACCAAGGTCTTTCATGGCAAATTTAGCGCCAAGGTACGTTTTAAATTTGTGGATCAAGCACATATAGCGCAAGGAACAATAGCCCTCAGCGTCAAAAAATATGTAGAGCTGCGCACGAAACCAAGGGAAATTAGAAAAGAATCTATTTTCGTGTACCATTGGTGGCTGGATAAAACCAGGAGGCTGAGCCACATACACCGATGTCGCCATTAAGGAACGCAGTACAAACGTCAAGTTGATGGAGCTCGAGATCCAATTCTGCAGCTAAGATTAGTAGCATACGAATGGTTGTGAGTTTCACCACAGGGCTATAAGTTTCCGTGTAGTCCAGCCCATGAACTTGAGTAAATCTGCGCGCTCAATGCTTCCATCAGCGTTGTACTTTTTCTTAAACAACCGCTTGGATGAGATGAGCTTTCTGCGAGCTGGAAGTGACCAAGTGTTGTTTTTCTGGAGAGAATCATACTCCTCCTGCATGGCTGCCTGCCAGTGCTCAGCTTCTGGTCCGTGTAGACCCACCTGGGGACCGAGAGAGGCAGGTGGAGCTGTCATAGCCCAGAAGTAGGCACGTTTTCCTGTAGGAATCGCTCCTTGGCCTTAAGAGATGGTTTCACGACACGACCCAAGCGTGTCACCACTGTTGTGCCGGCTGGAGGAGGTGGTAGCTTGGGAATGCTGGGAGGAGTGGTGGCATCTTGATATAACTCGTCGCCAACGAACAGGTCAGCCACAAGCGTGGAAAGATCTGGCTGTTTCCAGCCGCTGTGGCCTGTGGAGTCGTCAGAACAGGTGTCGAAGGAAGATAAGTACCGTGATCAGCTCCTCCTGCCAGATCGCCTCCTTCGGTTGCTCATTCAGCAACTCCTCCTGGCTCTGCATCGGCTGGATTGTCTGGTGCTGGGTGGAGATCTGGAACGTCGTCCAAAATCTCAGAAAGATCCAGGAGGGAATCTCAGGGTATCTCGATAAAGATGAGCTTCATCAAACACCACATCTCAGCTCACCACTAGTTTCCTGCGCTGGCAGTTATAGAGTTGATAGGCTTTTACCTGGGTGTGATAGCCGCTCTTGCGATCCAGCTTCCGGTGCTGAGCATCTGGAATGTGAGCGTAGGCAACGCAACCAAACACCCGGAGATGCCCTTTTGGGACGCTTCCCTGTCCATACTTGAAACGGCAATGGAACGTGTTGGCAGCCCGTTCTGGAGATACACTGCTGTGTTGAGTGCCTCTCCCCAAAACACCTTGGGCATGCCAGCGTGCTGGAGAAGG